ATACTATAGAATACTAGAGATGATTTAAATATCCTATACAGGGAGGATATATGTAGGTTCTATGCAAATACTATGCCATTTTATATAAGGGACTTGAGCATCTGCAGATTTTGGTATCTGGGGGAGTTCTGGAACCCCTTCCCCATGGAGACCTAGGATGGCTGTATATGACAAGGTACCAAATATCAATTAAAGTGAACAAATTAAATCCATAACTTTCAACACAACTAGATTTCAAAAGAATGAAAAAAGTGGGTTGTAGGATGGTATACAAAATTTGAAATTATTTGCATAAATATTTAAAATATACAATGTAATGCTACATATTATTTAAAGATGTCTCTAATGTAATAAAAGTAAAGGGACACATGGACTGGAAGGAATCAATAACAGGAAAATAGTTACTTCCGAGGGAAATCTAAAGGAGATTTTAACTTTTTACATTATGTTTTAGTTATTTACCTTAAAAAAGTCAAAATGAATATGAAAAATGTGGACATTTATTAGTCCTGAGTGGTAGATATGTGAATATTTTATTCCATACCTTTTTTCACTTTAAAAACTTTCTAACTTAAAATTATGGTGACAAACATTTTGCTTATTTTTCTTGCTCTCCTCTCTCCATCCTCAAAGCATTTGCAAAGCACATTGTAAAAGCAGAAACAGGATTTACTTCTGTCTTGTTCAAAATCTAAGTGCCCCACACATGGAGGTACATACTCTGCCTCTCACTGGCGTAATCAGTGATGAGGAGCAGTCAAACTATAAAGTTAGGGGTCTCGGAAGGTGTGATCAACAGACTTAGAATTGCTTCAGATGAAATCCCTATTCCAGGTGTGGTTTCAATTCCTACGTTTTAATGAGTGTATTTACAAATATAAGTGTATATATGAGTATGTGTTAAACTATGAAAAATAATAGTATTGTATGAATGTAATATACTTTGACTTTTTTTTTAGGTATCTACGAATATTTCAAAATGTGGACCTATCTAGCAATTTTTACTTTAGGTAAGTTTGAGCTTAGTTTGCTCCTACCAATCACTTAAATTTTTTATCAGAACACACAGTAGTACTTACTCTATTTTTTGAAATAG